TGCGACCACGTACTCGACACGATTTTCACCCTGGTTCCAAGTCCCCCATGACCCCTACCGAAGTCATCCAACCCCCTCCCATCAATATAGCTTACTTTACACCCGACCGTCTGATAAGGACAATGCGATAACTTTCTGATATACTCGGTGCTAGTGCAATTCAATTTACAAGCTGGTCTTCATTCAAACGCTGCTGTACCTCTGAATGGTGGTCGAATGCGTGGCGCGTTCCGAAAGGATCGACTGTGTCTTATGCTTTTTCTGTTATCCCTTAATGTTCATGGTCTAGCGTCAATCGTCGGAATCGTTCGTGAAATCATTGTGCAGAGGCAGTGTCAGCTCTCTTTGAGTTTGAGCCATGTTGTTTGCACTTTGCACAGATTTTCCGAGAACACGATTAGCTGCTTTCGTCCCGGTCAAAACGTAACCCAGAAAAAAAGATTAACAATTTTCCCTGAACTTCTCGACCACTCCGTCGGAGCCCGTTTGAGATCTCGTTGTATGGAGGGAGGCAGCAGCTGAGATTTTGTAGAAGGCTCTTCACTTCAAGAACAAGGCTAGTTTGAGGTATCGCGTTGCAGTGGTACAGTGTTGCCTTCAGTCACCCAGACCTCGATTCATGTATCGGACTTGTCTAACACCAGTAACACCACCCCGCAGGAATGAACGACTCAACCTGCTTGGGCGAGATTTAAGTCACGGACAATCAAGGTAGTATGTAACGGCATTGTTCCCTTAATTCTATTTCACCCATGGCCTGTCTAACTAAACCAAGCACGCTCATAAAGCACGTCAATGGGAGTACATATGGTGTGCCAGGATTTCTAGAATGCGCTATATTGAACCATAAGAAGTTCAAAGGGTTCATTCGGCGCTGGTCAGTCTCTTCTTGGATGTGAACACCATGTGCTAGGCTTAAGTCACGTATCGACTATCAGCCAGTAAAACCCCAGATGGGTACCATCTGGGGCCTACATTTATCTGCGTGGTGCAATTCTGCTTTTATATTTCGATAGAAGCACATGCTCATGAAAGATAAAGTAAAGGAGAAGTGAAGCAGGTAGAGGAGTGTCAAGATTATGACTTTGCGGCAGAGTGGCGTGATTGTCGTAAATGTTGCCTTTCGGTTCTCATACACGGTAATAGAAGGGGTAATAGGTGATGTATAGAGAATAGAAGTGTTACCGTCATCGTTCGATTTTCTTTTCAATGTAGTATAGTCGTCGAAGCAGCATCTGCTAACTTCACCGAAAGAACCTCTTTAGTGGTGGTAAACCCGTCCACATTCGAAATCAACGAGCGAAAATAGGCCTCCACTTTGTGAGGTAAGCAAACCAGCCCTTTTGGCGTTTCGGCTGGGACCGTATGCTGAATGTTGGGGAGGGGATGGGGTCCCCAACGGTCGACGGTTTACTTCAACTCGGTTGGTACGATAGGAGAGTACTGACGCAAGTGGTGCAGCTGGTCCAGCAGCTCCGCCAGAAGGGCTGGTTTGCTCACCCCAGGACTAAGCCTTGGAGAGGGGACGGACCCGTCCTCTCTTTAAGGCTTAGTTCTGAGGTAAGCACCAAATTGTGGCGGTTCTAAGGACCGAGTTGAAGTGGTCCGTCCACCGTCGGGGACTCCATCCCCTCCCCAACATTCAGCATACGGTCCCAGCCGAAGCGCCAAAAGGGCTGGTTTGCTTACGTCCCACTTTGTTGGCTTCTACTCAACGTTTGTCTTAAGTTTTCAAATACACACCAGTTGGCACCTCTACTTTCAATTTCAACGGTATTAGCCTATCGCGAAGCCTGCCTTCAATGGAACCCTGAGGGATGGAAGTCCTAGTTAACCATAACGAGTAAAAAGTATGAACTAGTGGCGAGAAAATTTATTCATGTGATGCCTCATCAAATTAGAAAACTAGAAATATCCACCACTATGAACACCATGTATATGCGAAAATGGTGTAGTGGCAAGTGGCGCGCTTACCACGCGAGCGGTCCGGGATCAAATCCTGGGTCGTGAGTCGCCCGGGCCAACCAAGCCTTCCATCCCTCCGGGGTCGGTTAATTGGTACCAGACTTGTCTGGGAGGATAAAAACACTGACTTGTACATCGGCTGGCCCCCGCAAGTCATTGTATAGGCCACATCGCATTCAATGCCACTACGAATGTACAAATGGAAGTAGAATGCGTGCCGCATCCCAAAAAGGGATTGATCAACGGCAAATGCTTTATCCTTTTTATGAACCTTATAATTGTGACACCTTGCTCTGTAACAAGGGAGCACATCGCACAATTTTCTAGGTGTTCCTCCTGGCTAGTCTCATTCACTTCACTGGTATCACCTTCTACGCCATTTATGCTTCCGGAGAACTGCAAGTACGTTTACTAGCTTCACACAATTTTTGTTCATTTGCTATCTTTAGAACTGTATTGCGCTCGCAGATTCAACACTGTTAGCCTGCGTTAGCAGAGTTCACAGTTGATAGCTCTTTTGCTTTTGGGGTTCTTTCGATACAAGCTGGGATTTCTTTATTGCTAGCTTTCCGACATTAGCTCTTCGTTTCTTTTTTGTTTCTCCCACCAAAAACCTTTCAAATTTTCACGAACGTCATCGCTTTAAAGGACGAATTCACGATGAAAAATTAACCCATTTCAAATTAACCTAGGGATGGTGAGTGGTATACGAAAGAAGGAAGAACCATGAGAAATCGTATAACTTCGTATAATGTACCTTATTCCGCAGGGTCAACCGTTACGTTGGACCGATATTGGAGCGACGTTGGACCGATGTTCACCGCTCTCCGCGCCGGCATTCACTCTCGCCACCCGCGAGCCGTCTGTGTCTCCGTGCGTACGTTCACTCTCGGCATTACTCTCGTCGTCGCGTTGGACTTTGTCCAACGGACGGTTTCTTGCCCGTTGATTCGAGCATTGACTCAACTATCATCGCTGTGCCCTCTTCAACACTACGCTCTCTCAGCTATCTAATCACTCGCCACGTATTGAACTACGGCGAGTGATCAGATGATCGGTGGGCGGAGATCGCCGAACCCGCCAACTTTGAGCCACGCCGATGAAATTTTTCTGAGCGCGAAAGTATTGATCGACTAAGGCATGCTATGAAGCGAAAGTTTTGTTAGTTGGTGCCTCGTCAACTGACGTTACCTACTGGCAAGACGGCCGTAGACACAGTTGCAAGTGGCGCAAACCATTTGAATGTGGTGATCTAATTCTCAATGACAAACCTTATAAAATATCAAATTGAACAGTGGAGATTTGATGATCCTTCGCCAATCAAACTCGGAAATAATGACGGAATTTATTTCAAAAAAATGATGAATGTTTCTTGGATGAGTGATCTATAAGCTTTGAGTTTTCAGTGGGTGTCAAGGGATTTTTCCTCAAAAAAATAATTAATGGAACTGGCAAATGAGTTTCTATAGAAATGCAGGACGTCCACACAACGCCATAAGCATAAACAAACTGCCAGCCCTTCAAATTGTCGTTAGTTTTACAAAAGTAGTTGCTTCAGGAATGGGCAGAACCCAAACCCGAGGAAGAAGCATGGAACGTGACAGCGCTCAACCAAAGAAGTAGCAACGGTATGTGACAGCCCTATGATTTGCACCTTCCTCTTTTCAAAAGCTCTTTTTCAGCTGGTTATGGAACTGCAAAGAATGAAATGCCAATCAGCTTAGCGCCATTGCCAACGGCAGATCAGTTACATAAAGGTAAGCTAATTGGGGTCGCACCGCCTTTTTGGTGCTTGAAAATTGCCTTCCACAGGTAGTTGACGGTAGCTCAATCTGTTTCATGGCCGTTTTCCTTAGACTTGCCGAAAACCTCCTATGTCGCTGAGCTGTTATCGACTGCTAATTAGCTTGCATCAGTGAGAAGCCTGGAAAACACTGTGTCCATAAAAACTCGCGGTCTTCAGTAGTTGCATGGCAACCGTAACCAGAGTAGCAACCTTGAAAATTGATATTATAAACGTCTTATACGAGAAACTGCAATTGGAAGACAGACCTGCATTTTGATTGATTGAAACCAAGCACTAGCAGTACCCAATAAGACTATGAACCCCATAAGTGACTTAGTCAGTTTGAAAAAAAAACCCGCTGAAGCCAAGAGGGGGAGCTGCTGCCACAAGTTATGGGGCGCTCATGCTCAAACATGGCTTTCTGCGGGATAGAGAGAGTTATAAGCTCGTTCTACCTTTCCAGTAAAGGAATTGGATTAGAAAGATTAGATGCTCATAGTTACTTGGATGGCGAAGACGTTGGTTGTCAGACATATTTTGGGGCGGGTTTTTGTAGTGCATACGGTTTATCTGACCGCTAGTCAAGACTCAGCAAGGTTTGCAAAGGTAGCTTAATACTTTAGGGACATCGTGTTTTTGCTGTTCCTGACCACGGAGGACGGGCGCGTATTTTCGTGGCGGAGCCGTGATTCGCAGGCGAACCATGCTGCTGATCACCATATTTTTTCACAGTATCACCTGTATCACCTGTCGTCCCGTTGATCATCGAATTGCTCGAGCGGGCGCCAGCAACGTCTCCATTCGTCCCTGTCGCGTGCTAGAGTTGTCCAGTGGATCCTCGCTCGAGGGACACGAAGTCATTCCTTTCGTTCAGAGCTTTCGTGAAGAAGTCTGACCATCGGGCCGGCGGTCGTCCAGGTGTTCGTTTGACGTCCCGAGAGA